ATCTGAATTGGTACAACTTTAGAAGACATAGGAATTGGTTCTATGAAGTGTGATTGAAAGAGAGGAGAATAAAGCGCTAACAGCTAGGCTGAGAGGCAAGATGACACAATCTTGTAATTTGGAGAGCTATAATAAAGTGTGCTTTTCACTAAGGGGGCTAAGAAAACAGACCGGTGCCGGAAATCATCATGACTACAACAGCAAAAGGTGCAGGACTGAATAATTCATATAGGGCCTTCCTTTTACTTTTAACAATTTGCGAAAATGCAGTCAAACAAAATCTTAACTGCAACTTGATTATTCTAATACGCAGGCGCTAGATTATTCCATCCGTTCTATTCTCCAAAGCTTCAGTCATATCTTTTAATTTAATACAATATTCTCGATTACGCACCTGAGAGATGTAATATCCTTTCATTGGCATATTTCTAATCGAGTCATCTAGTTTAGTTTGAAACAACCCATGCGATAGTCTATCCAGTTCGAAATAAATGTAAATAGTTAAATCATAATGGCTACCGACAATATATTATTTGTTAAGTTCAATTTTAAAATTATAATTGTGTTGAATGGCCGGAAGAGTGTTTTAATTTTTCTAGGTAGCTAGATTAAAGAAGATAAGAACCAATAAAATGCCCGGTGCCACATTTTCCAAACGAGATCTAATTCCAAGAAGATTAAAGTCAGCCCAGAAATTATCCAAAATTAAGTCAAGAGAAAGTAATACCTATCGAAAACTCAAAACATTAAAGCCATTAACAGGTTTCTGAGGGATTCATAAAAGCCTAAATCTATATTTTAATTTTTGGAGTTGTTTTTATAAATATTTTAGTAAATTACATTTATTGATTTCCTTAATTATTGTTAATTTTCTAGAAATTATCAAAAGCGAAGGATCACATTTGTAATAACTTGAGGCTTTGAGTGATTTGATGTATATTGAAAAACACTGTTGAAGGATTCTCTGTTTATGTTGTACGAAATTATCAGCTGTAAATATGTTTTCTCTTCGCTATACCTGCTGCCACGTCTAGCTATTGTGATAGATTGTTGTTGATTGAGTGATAGATTGTTTTTTGCAAGTTATTACTAAAACTGCTTCTAGATTACCAATTATCATGTCTGGTGAAATTGTCTGGTTTGGCATATTCATTCCAGTTGCTACTGCTAGTCATCTTAGTACTGAATAATCATTAATAATTTCATTTAAAGTAACTATGCTTACGCCCTGACATACCTTCATTAGATCTAACATCTCTGGAATCTGTTTACCGACTTCTAGACCTGTGCACAAAATCACTTGCTGTCGCTGCTTCACTCTTTCTAATGAGACTGCAGAGGATGGGATGGCCAGAAGAAGTGGTACCAGACCCCCGACAAATTCGTTAACAGTCCAATCTAGAGCTGTCCATGACCTAATTACAAAAGACGATACGTCGCTTGGCAGTCCCTCTTCTTCAGCCCTGCCAGTTTTCTTATCATTTATGGCATTTTTACTATTCAGCGGCTGATTCTGAGCTTTGCCTGAGAGTTTATTGGCATCATGACTCTGATCGCCTTCCAGATATGGCGCGTTCAAACTTGAGGTATCGGAAGTACTTCCAAAATGAGACGGTAGATCTATTTGGGTGAGGTTAGATGTGCTCGTATTAGGCTGTCGCAGGAGACTATCATCTTGGGCCAGATGACAGGATGAGGAAAAAGATGGCCGCCCAGCTAGTCTTTGTTCGAAAATTTGTTTCAGAAAGGCATGAATTTGAGAACCAAGAATGCCAGAAGCTGAGAAGGGACGTTTTAAAGAGGCATCAACGTCATTTGAAGAGGTGGCAGTGCCTGAAAATCCTCCCGAGTTGTAAAAGGCGAAAGGAGCGTTGAGATAAATAAATGGGCGAAACAAAATAAAATAAAAATAAATGAAGAGGAAGAAAAATCAAATAATACCAAGACTGTGCTCTTATTTTAGGCAGTAATCTCAAGAATGTGAATGCGTTAGATGTAATATAATATGAAGGAGCAGATTACGTCAGTACTACTACTGTTTAAATTCTGATAATGGGAGCTAAAGCACAATATTGTAATGATTGCTTAACAAAAGAGCCAAGCATCTTTAGCGATAATAGAAAACATTTAAAAAATAAGAAAATAATAATGACAAGAATAAACAAATGGAAAGTATGGAATCATGCGGTGAGGGAAAATGAGTAGATTCGCCAGGTTATATCTAAAATTGCGAAAATTAACATAACAGTAAAAGTGAATAAAAGGTGAAGGTGACCTTAAATTGGCTTATATATGGAGAATCTAAGCTTATATATAAATATAAATAAATAAATATATATATATATATATCGCGTTGAAGTTCTGACTTTTGACTAGTTTGAAGGAGTCCTCCATACACCATAGCGAGATCTCGATACATAAGTGCTGAGCTATGCATGCATATGAACAAAAATTATTTGAGCATAAAGCCATTATTTGGTAACACTTTACTATGCATTCAATCAAGAAAGACGCCAAGAATTCATCCAATCTACTTTTGTCTACTGTTTAAAGTACCCACGATTTAGTAGATAAAAGAAGTGGCTACGGAAGACGTGTGAAATGGATATGCTTGTAGCAGAACAGCTCTACAGCTTAAGCCTGCAATTTTCAAATGTGTACTTGCCCAAGTTTGCACGTATGCCAGATGAGATGAGTAGAGATATATTTAGAAAAACACAAAGATGGTTTCATTTCGTAACCTACGGAACAAAACTATGCGTTAGTAATTTTATGCCAAGTAACCGGCGTTTGGGGACCAGGGCAGCTCCGAACAATTGTCTTCCAGGATATATCGAAATATTTTCCTGATTAATACTTAAAAAGAGGCGAGAGAAAAACTATTCATGGTATGACAAGCAGATAACGCTACTTGGTTGCTAATGTGAACGTCCTGTCAGCTTTCGAAATAGATAGCCCGGTTACTAAAAAAGTGGAAAATCACAACACTCACCCCAGTCGTAGCTTCTTTCGAGAATTTTCGGCCCATATTTATAAATCGCGGTGTAACAAAATTGTATGCTACTGTAGTAATGTCTGTGTGCGGAAGATAGTTAACCCATGCAGAAGTAGTTGAA